AATTAAAAGCAAAGTCTTTACTTATAATCACATTAGTTAGTTCTATTTAAAAGTATTTAATTGCATGGAAAATAGAAAAAGGTAAGAGCAAAATAAATAAAATAGTAATCGATATATATCTTCTGCTCCAGTTTTCCTTAACAGTAGTATTTATGGCTTAATATAAACCTGAGTTAACTATATTTTACATAATAATTCTTACATCCATTTCATTAGCGTTCATATTTTATGAATTTTCTTCTAAAGCTTTTTTATAAAACTTTTAATATTTTTATAGACTTTCAATTTTTTCCTTTAGATCTGGTATTTTGGAAAATTTTTGGACCTTCTTTTTACTTAAAATAAACGGCTTACCACCTATTTTATTAAAAATAAAATGCAAGCATCCATCATCTATTTTATTTATTATTTATTAATGTTCTAAACTTTCTGCTTATGTTTTATGAGAAATACTGATTAAGTTAGTCTTTTTTTTATTATTGAAAAAAAAAAAATATTTAAAATCTATATATTTACTTTTTCTTCTAAATCTTTTTTATTTAATTTTTAGGTTTATTTTTTTTTCATTTTATTATAAACTTTGACCACACTATCTATTTTTGATATTTTCGACGTTGCATTATCTTAAGCAATTGCAGTATTATTTTTAATGCTTTATTAATAATTCTATTTTTCACCCATCTAGCATTCTTTTAACGCTATAATATTTTTCTTATAAAATTTTATTATCCTCTAAATAATATTATATTCAATTAATTTTATTTTATATTTAATTTCGTCAATATCTGCTGAATTTGAGCTTACCACGATTTCAAATCCGTCTGAAATCCTATTTACAATACTAGAATATAAATATTTTAACCCAAAGGACGATATTCTTCTATTAAAAGATAAATTTACCACTTTTAAATATTTTAACTTAGTTTCATTTGAAAGTAATAAACTAAAAGATTCTGCAAAGGTATCACTTACATTAAGCCCTTATAAATCGATTTTTCTTAAATTCTCCATTTTCTTTTCGGCCAAAACAAAAAGTAAATAAATAATTTTATCATCTAAAGTATGCCTTGCTTTAATAACATTATTATTTTAGTTTTAAACATTTAATCTAGCCTATAAAGTGTCATAAACCTTACTTTTATCAGCCTTAGGCTTTTTTTCAATATCCAAAATATCTTAATTTATTTAAAACCAAGGTGCAAGTTTATTAGAAACATAATTATTTAATCCCTAATAATTTAATCTCATATTATTTTTTAAGTCAAGTACTTCGTATTATTAAAATAATTACTATATATCTTCATATTCCGAAGATTCTGCCTATAATTGTAAAAAGTAATACTCTTTGATTAGCACAGTTAATTTTTTATTAATAAATTCATTTTCCTTTTCGAGTTCAGTAATTCTATTTTACATTTCTAATTTGTTCAATTTTTTTTTGTAAATTTCAATTTTTGAATTTATCAAATTTTTAGTGTCGGACAAATTTTAATCTTTTTATTCTGTTTTTTATATTCTTTATGTAATATTTTCGCCAATTTTATTGCCTATTTAATTCAAAGCCGTAGTTATTTTTTCTTTTTATTTACAACACTAGCTTATTACTTAAAAAATATAATTTTATTACTACTTGCTTGACATAAAAATAATTTGCTTATCCAATAAAACTTGATCATTTAGTGTATATTATATAATATTTTTTATTGAAGAAGCACTCAAATATTCTTAATACTGCTTTTTTTATAGATAGATAATCCTTATGATATTCGGAATTGATATTTATTATATAATAAAGTTCATACCGTATTATGCTTTTATATATATTTCTGGTTATATATAAGAAATACAATCATATAATCCACAAAGTCTCTATATTTATTTATAATTGATGTGTTCTTTTAAGGAATAGGTGATTTATTACAAGAATAAATTAATTTGGAATGATTAAAGTTTTTTTTAAGTAAATTTATCAAAAATTTTAATTTTTTAATCTGTATTATTAAATGAGTCAAACATGAAATTAAAATTGTAAATTATTTTTAGTAATGTATTATTCTTCAACATTAAGTCAATAAATTCCAGACATAAATTAATTTTATCAGGGTTTATATATATATTATTAAAATAGTTTTAATAATCAAAGCAATTAAAATATTCTAATTATTGTTCATTCTCAATATCTTCATCAAATAAAATCAAGTAATTTTTGCTGTTTTCAAAATAGCAATATTTTAAATTCACAAATTGAAGACTCATATAAAAAGGCAATTTTTTAATTTATTCTAAATATCTATAATCTATTTTTGTATAAGAAAAGTCAATAAATTTAACTTTCTGAAAATTCTTGAATATTTAAAAGAAATAATTTTCATCAATATATTCGTCTATATTTAAAGTTTTAATTTCTTATTAATTTTATTATTCTTATATTGTCTATTATTTTTCCTAATTCCCTTAAAGCTTATCCTCATTTTACAATTGCTCCTATATTTTTTCGTTTTCATAATGTATTTATTCCTAGCTTTTTACATATTTATTCCTATTAAAGCTGATCTAATACAAATTATGTCTATAAAAAAGATCATTTTATAATTCATCAAATTTATTAGTTTTAATTTATTGTTTATTTTATGACTAAAAAACTTAATTCAATATTTATTAAGCAAAATCAATATTTTAGATGTCTCTAATACAACTATAATCAATTTCATTAAAAATCTTATGATTTATTATCTTTTCAACAGTTTGCTTTTCATTTGTTTATTTTTCATTTTTTAGCTTTTCATATATTACAAAATCGGTTACTTATTAATTAGGAGTAAGCCTTTGAATGAGTGCTTTAAGTTCGTCATTTTTAATGTTAGTAAGTGTAATTTTTTTCAAGTTCATTTAAATTTTTTCTGGGTGTAAGCTATCGAGAGCATTTTTTAAAGTTTCTTTGTTTTTTTCATTACCTTCATAAATTAACTCTGTTAAATATAACTAAATATTATAAGGTATTTTTATTTTGTCAGTTTTATATTAATTTGGTTATCCTTTTGTACCAGCTATTTCTCGAACCTTTTCAACTTCATTGTAACGCAGTATTTTTATTAACAAATCAGGAGTAAAATGGAAATATTTATAAATTAAATCAATAAATCTACTCCAATCAAATGAACTTTGTAAATTTAATTTAAAAAAATCCTATTAAGTCAAATTACTAAAATGTTCCTCTTTGAGGGATTCTTAAAATTATAAAGAAATATTTGTATTAAATTTAAATTTATCACATTAGAAAAAATCAATTAAAATATTGTCATACTAAGGGTTTCCAAAAATAATCTCTTTTAAATTACACATTTTTTATAGATTTAATAATGGAAATAATTATTTTTCCTTTGATCCATAGTTAAAAAGGACATAAAGTTTTTGGACATTTTTTAAATAGTAATTATCAAAAATATTTTCCAAATACATCACAAACACAGGGATATTTTTCAAAGCTTTTAAAAGACTAAACCTGTCGAAATTCGAACTAAAAATATTTGAGTTTAGTAAAATTTTTATGGTTTCTTGATATGTATTAATTAATTCTTAAGGGCTATTTTTGCTAATTTCACAAATTTAAAATTTTTCTATATTATAAAAATATTTAGAATTTAAAATTTTTTTCAGAAGCTAATCTTATAAATTATTTATATGCGACTCTTCTTTTTCCTCTTTATTATCACTTTGATTTTATTTTTTAGCCTTTATAATTATAGAATTAGCACTATATTAATATTATTAGTCAAATATAAACTCGATTTCACTGAATTATTAAATTTCCGATAAATCAATTTCTATTTCTTTAATTTTTGTAATTATGAAAGGCGCTTTTTAAATAATTTAGTAAAATTCGTTTTTAATTTTGAATTTTTAGTAAATTTCATTAATTTAAAATACTTCCAAATTATAATTAGAGAAATTCTTCTCTTGAGCTAGTTAAATGAATTTTTAATTAGTAACCAATTAATATAAATTCTATTCGAAATCAGCACTATGTATAACAATTTCCTTTAAATTAATAAAAGAGGAGAAAATAGAAATCAAAGAATTAAACAATTATCCAAATTTCAAAACTTTAATGGATTTTATACTACTTTTATATTTTATCAAATTTAATTCTATTTCTTATTCATTTAAATCAAACAAGACTTAAATATATGTCAAATCTAATTCTGTATGTATTTTATTATACCATTCATTTAAAAAATTCGAAATGAAAATATTTTTTAATTTTTTTCTAAAATTTTTGTAGTGTTCTTAGTCAAAATCCTTATAATTAAAATTATAAAGCATATCAACATTTGCTTTTGTTAAGTTTTTAAAAATTTATTCGAAATCAAATTTACTAGAAAACTATTTTCTTGCGTTTATTATTTGTTCGATTTGTTCAATTGTTATTCCATCATTTTAACTTATTATTAAATTTTCTAAACTCGCAAAATTATTCTCAGGGAATATCTTTTAGCATTTTCTTTATAATATACTATTTTATTCAAATAATTCATAAATAGTCTATTCATCTCTTTATTAATCATTTAACTTAGTATTATTTCTTAATAATTAATTAGGATTTATTAGAGAATATTTCCCAAAATTAATAGTCTTTAAGTTAACCACATATTCACTCTGAGAAAATTTAGAAAATTGATTAAAATCATAATGATTTAATTCACTAAAATCTATCTTTGTACTATTTAAAAGTAAAGGATTGTTAGATAATTATATTATTATATCATCATTTATAAGGCTTTTATTATATTTTATTAATGAAGATAAATCAAAAAATGGTTTAAATTATTAATCTATTAATATTTCTAAATGCTATATATATATTTTTAGTAAAAAAAAATATTAAAAAATTAGTTTTAAAAAAAATAAAACATTATAAATAATAAAAAATTAGTTTAAACCAAAAAAAAAAATTAAAAATTAGTTTAAACCAAAAAAAAAAAAAAGAAAAAAAAATTTACCTATTAAAAACCTAAAGATTTAACAGTTAGATTTTTTAATGATGGAAAATTTTTCGAAACTGATACTTATTACCATAACATTCTATATTCTTAAGTATCTTTAATTTCTATTTCTATATCTTTAACATTATAAGTATAATTTGAATTTCTAAACAAATCGGATAATTAATGAAAATAATCTTAAGCTTCCATAAATTTTAAAGAAATAATACTAGTCATATAAGGACATAAATTAAAAGAAGTAACATATTCTCTTTTCAAATGAGCTGGATGTGTATCTATAAATTTCTAAATACTAAACTAAAGGCTAAATTTAGTACTTCTATTAATATAATTATAAAGTCTATAAGACGTATTTTTAAAATCTTGCGAAAACTATAAATCTAATTTTTTCAAATTACTCAAATAATTGCAAAAAGTTAAATTAATAAATGCATAATCATTTAAATTATTACAATTTATATGTAAATATTCTAAATTAATACATTTTTTATGTAAAAACAAATGAACAAACTAATTTAAAAAATATATTATAAATATAAATTATATTAATAATTTTTTACAGATTCTGAACAATATCCATCTTTGGAAATGTCCAAATTTATAAAATTTAAAAAATAATCCGAATAACCTAAAGCATAAATAACTCTATCTTCTATGAAATTATTCATTTGAGTATATTAATTAAATAAATCCTCTATTTAAAATGCTTTACTAAAAGGTGATTATTATAAAATATGACATAAACTTTTATATGTGACATTAGTATTTTTTATATTTAATTTAACTATTTATGTCTTTATTTCACAAAGTTTCTATTTTTTCATATAAAAAAAAATTAAAAATATATAAATTATTACTAGTATTTATTAATCCCCTATAGATTTTAAATTTTCAAGTTAAATATAATAAATATGTTAGCAATTATTTATTTTTTCACATAAATAATCGAACGTATTTCCTGTAATATTCGACGAACTTAAATTCAAAATTTTTAAATTAAAATATACAAAAATATCATTAATTTTATTCAACAAATCAATTTATTTTAATCCTTCTTCATTATTAGATTCATAATTATATTTTAAGTGCCTCAAAATGTTAACATCAGGTAAAATATTAATATAATATGAATAATCATTACTTTTCTTTTTGAAATCACTAAATTAGTCAATAAAATTCAATTTAACATATTCTTAATCGATTTAATTAATTGTTATAAAAATTTTCTTGCTAGGCATTTAAAATATTTATTCCAACGTTTATTAAATATTACTTAACTAAGGCTTATTAAAACTTAAAGAAATAAAAATTTATTTATCTCCCTGTTTATATAAATTCTATAGTTATTCTATAAGTTTAGCTTGTGTTTCTCCTGGAATCCATGGGAAGGCATCTATCTGAAAGTAACTTTTTTCAAAAAAAAAATCAGGTTTTTAATCGAACATTAATCTTATCAATTTATCCAAACTTTACATAACTCCATTTCTTTTAGAATACATCATTTCCATTATTTCGAAGTCTTTAAAATTGATCATATCTTTGAAAAATTAAGAATCTTTAAATTGATTATCTAATAAATTATTTGTTTATTCCATCCACAAAAATTTCAACTTTTTTGGTTCTTTGAAGAAAAAATCAAGAAAATTGCAATCTATATTTGTATTATTTAAATTTACAAAATAAGATTCTTCGAAAATCTTCGAAAATTAATCATTTTATATATTTAATTCAAATTATATATTAGAATTTTCTAAATTTATTAACCTGTTTAACTAATATTTTTATATAAATTTTAATAGGAGGTATATTTATTTATATAATATAATTTTTTTATTATATATAATTCTATTACTTTTTTTTCCTTCTTTTAATTAAGTAATTATAAAACAGGTACATTAATATACTATCTATAATAGTTAAGCATTGCCTTATAATCGAATTTAATGAAATCTTAAATCAATAAATATTAAAGACACACACTAATCTCTAAATTTGGACATTCATCAAAATAAATCAGCTACAAGTTATCTAAAAAATGAGTACAAATACAAATTGCTAATATAACTTACTCGGAAAGTAAAGTCTCAGAAATATTAATATGTTTAACACTCTTAAGCATCTAACAACTCAAAAAAAACCTACAAACAGAATAATCACTAATATTCATATTTCCCGAAAAGTCTAAATAGAGCAATTAATTATTATATGAAGGAAAAATTTTATAAAACTAAACGTATGCACTTTCAGTTGATTTTTCTCCTACTTTTGGGTTTTCAACAGGTTTGTTTGGATCTAAAGTTTTATTTGTATCTGGTATTTCCTTGTTTAGTGCTTTCTTTGATTATTCCACAACTTTTATATCACTTACTTTTTTTACATCTTTTTTTGAATTTAAAAAATTATCTAAGCTATCTTTGTCTTCATCTAAGTATTTTTTCAGTAATTCTTATATAGTTGCGCCCTCTACTGAAAACAAAATCCAAATTTAATCTATTAGAGATAAAGAATCTAAGAAGTTGTTTTCTATGTCCTTTCTGTATTAATATATGAAGTAATCATATTTGAAATTGGGAAGTTTTTTTATAGTTAAAAATAAATTCTGAAAATGGTTTTTTGTGTTCTAAAAATATTCCTTTACTGCTTATTATTTTACTCCGAAAAATGATAGTGTATGTTAATATAGGTTTTTTAAGATTTTTCCTTATTCAACAAAGTCTTCTATTGTTACTTTTGTTTAGAATTATTTTGGATATTTTTTTAATTTTTGAATTTCTGTGGCTTTATTAATTACTTTATATTAGTATTAAGATTCAGGATAATCTATTAATTTTTTAAAAAATAGATTTTGTTATTTGTTTATTTTTTTAATAAAATATTTTTATTTTTTAAATATATTTAAAAAAATTAAAAATGGTATTTACTTGCAATAATCGAATTAACAATAGTATCATAATTATCTTGAATTTTCATTTAAGTTTATCTCTAATATTTATTTTATAATTTAATAAATATTAATAATAAAATAAAATACTCTTTCATCTAATAAAATAGCTTTAAAACCTAACTTTTATTATTTTGCTTCTTCCCATTTAACTAATTCAAAAATATAAGAAAGACCTTATTTACTAATAAGTGCTGCCTACCTCAAATCTAACAAATGTAATTTCATATTTTCAGATAAAACTTCCTAAACAATATTCAATATATCTTTATCTTCTGTATAAGAATCTGAAAGTATAAGTTCCTTATAAAATAAATAAAAATAATATATAAATATAATTATAAATACATTTAAATTAGAAATTCTATTAGAATATTTTAAAGTATCAAGTACTCTATTATTAATGAGGTTATAATTTTCAACAAAAATCGGAAAAAGATCCAATTATTCCAAAATATTAGAATCTACAAGATAACCTAATCCTTTTTAAGTAATATTAGCACATCCTTTTAAATAAATTCTTTAAAGATTTTACATTTACTCAGAAACAGAAACTATTTATAAATCTTAATCTGAAAATGAAGTTTATTCCACACTTAAAATTTTCAATTTTAAATTTACTTATTAATCCTTAAAACATATAGCCTATATACCTCTTCTAATACTACTACACGCATTTTCAGATAAATCCAAATAAACTATATTTTAAACGTATTTTGATTATCCTATAGCTTAAATAATCTCTATACTTAATAATTTTTTTATTTCACAAATGCATCCAATATCGAAATGCTCACTAAAGTTTTAAGATTAACAAATCTACAAAAGACCTTTTTTAGTTACATTAACACATCCTAACATTAATATTTGTTATAATTGAGGATATTTTTGATTTTTTTGTACCATAGTCTATATTTCAGTATCCCCAAACTGTGATTTTCTAACATTAAATTTTTAAACGTATTTAAACAGGTTAGACTTTAATAAAGATTAGAAACCTACTTTTCCTATAAACAAGTTATTTTCAAAGCTCAAAGTATGTATATTATATGATAAATTATTTATCTAAGATTCTGTTATTGCTTTGAATTAATTAAAAAACTTAAGGTCATTATTTCTAATGTTTTTTTATACTTATTTTATCATTAATTCTATTTTAAATCTTTTGAACTTATTCTTGAAAATTTCCTCTATTTATTTGTCATCCTTTATTTTAAAATTAAATAATATTAGAAATTTTTATTAAAATAAATTTATATAAAATAATTATATAATAATCAATAAAATTAAAATAAAAATCTTACAAAAACTTCAAGGAAAGTAGAGTCAATAAAAATATTTTAGTCACATTTGATAGTTAATAAATCTTTAATAACTTATTTCTATTTAATAATAGTATCAAAAAAATTAATTAAAAAAGCAGAAGAAATCCTATTATTATTAATATTCAAAACTTCCAAATTATCCTTTGCAATATCAACAAAAAATTTAGTACATTGCTAAGTCAATTAACTTAAATTAGATAAATCAATCAAATGCAACTTTTAGATAATAATTTGATAATAAGTAAAAATATGGAGTATCAAAGTATCATTAACAGAATTGGAACAGCAATTCAAAATATTTATAATATCTAAAGTCTGATTAGTTTTGCTTATATTTATTTTTTTTTCTTAAGGAATAATAATTTATAATTCTTAGTTTTTTTATAATGCGTTAATATTATTTTATTTTTTTTCTTAACTTTATTATTCTATCATTTAGTCCACATATTATTCATATTGAATAATATCACTCGCTTTATTAAAATTTTCATATTTTTATAAAAGTTCGATTTGTTGTTCTTTTTCTGGTACATATTCAATCCCAAAAATCTAATAAAGTCCTTCCAAACCAAATTAAAAACAATTTTATAAATTCAACTTTTATAAATTAACCATTTCATACACTTTCATATTTATTTATTTGGCATCATTATTGCTAAAATTTGTATAACTTAAATCGAATTTTACAAGCCCACTTATTTTATTTCCATTGAAATTAAAATTTATTTTTTTACAATTTTTAAATGAGATTTTCAATAATTTCGGAAACTTATTATTCAAATTATTCAATAAATTATTTATAGTGTCTTTTATTTAAGTAGAACCCAAATTCAAATAATGCAAATTAGGAATTTAAGGAAATATATTAATATTACCAGAAAACAATTATTCAAAAGCCTGATCAGTTATTAAAGAACATTCCCTTAAAGCTAAATATTGAAGGGTCTAACAAATGTAATTGTTTTTATATTTTTAATAACTTTCTTGAGATATAACTTTTAATAACTTTTATTACTATTAACATATTTCACCTATCAACTAAATTATGTTACTGTTTACATTTGTAGAGCTTAAATTTAAATATGAAATATTATTTAATATTTAATTTCTTATTAATTCTTTTATAAAACCACTATCTACACCTTTAAATCCTTTCAAATCTAAATGTGAAATAAAATGTTGCTTTTAATTATCTTTAAGTAAGTCTTCGACGGGTAATTTCATAAGTCGATCTTTTTCATAGTTTGCAGGAGCTTTCCTTTTAAAAAATTCGACGATATAAGGGGTTAAAGAAATATCTATTTCACTACAATTATAGAAATTTATTTGTTTTAAAGTATCAATAAAAAAAATAAATTTTATTCCATTTAAAGTAATCTATTTAAAAAAAATTAAATATATAAATATTTATTTTTAAAAAATTATTATATAAATATTTATTTATATTTGTTTTTACTTATTTATTATTTGATATATCTAATCCTTCTAATTTAAAATAAATTTAATCTTAATCTCCTAATATGAAACAAATATTGTCATTAATACCTGTATTTGATAAGTTAAGATATTTTAATTTAGTAAGGTTTGATTATTATAAAAAGCAAGATAAATAAGTCGTATTTTAGATAACACAGTCTCTTATATTAAATATTTCCAAATTAGATAAACAGTCCATATATTGGAGATTTTTAAAAAATTGACAAGCTAAGTAAAATCCGTTCAATTTTAGATTTCTTAAGTTAGATAGAGAATAAAAGACCATATTTTTAAATGTAATTTTATTTTCTTTAGTAGAATCCCTATTTTTATAAGAAATAGTATTAATATTCGAAAAATAAAAATAATTTAAAGGAAGTTAATCAAAAGACTCACAAACAGTTGTATCAAAACTTAATTTTTATAAAGTGCTAATTTATGTTTTATCTTTTTTTTAATTTTTAATTTTTCTAAAAAAAAGCATTTCTTTTAAAATTTCTTAGGTTTATGAAATTTCTCCTATAGCATTTTTTATTTTAAATTTTTTTAAAGATCTTTAATTATTTTTTTAATTTTTTGTGAATTAAAAATATATTAATTAATTTTTTATTATTACTAAAAAAAATCTGATGTTGCAAAAACTAATAAATACTTTTTATCTTAAAAAAAGTTTTGTTTATTAATTTCTAAAGAGTTTCCATGTTCAAAGCTTACAATTTATTTTCTTAATAAATCTAAAAAGCTTTCAGTTATATATTCACAATTTTTTAAATATAACAATTTATTTTTTATTGGTGAATTATCTGAAAATTAACTTTCAGCGTCAATAATATCTGTTTTCTATTTTTTATTTTTTTTTTATTTTTAATAAAAATTAATAATAAATACTTCTTTATTAAGCCAATCTTCTATTACTTTTTTGAGGCCATCATCAATAATTGCACAATTGATAATTTTGATACAATTTAAATATTTTTTTTTATTCATCCTATTTAAAACTTATTCTAAGCATCTTTTGACTGACTATCCTGAACAACCATCAAAACAAATTTAATTTGAATAATAATAAATATAATCTATAGTATTTTCTAAATTCTCAAAGTAAGCATATTCTTTCAAATAAATTATAATTTTTATAGGATTAAAATATTCAAATTAATCTACAGTTTCTATATTTAGATTAAATTATTTCTCAAGAAAACTATTTATATCTGTTTCTTTTTATACACATTAGAAATATTTTATAAAAAAAGATGTAAATTTTTTTATCCTAAATTCCTTTTTGTATTTTTTGTACAATTATTTATTTATTTTATTTTTAGTGTTTTACTCTTTAATTTGTTTAGTATTTATGATTAAAATCAAGTGAATGTACGTCATATAAAATCTTTTTTTTTTAAATGATAATATTTAGTTTTTTTAAAAAAAAACATTTTATTCGAAATTTTAAGGTAACTCTCCAGCTTAAACATTTTTTGCTAAATCAGTTGCCTATCCTAAATATTTACCTGGCTATTATTTAGTTATTTCAATTTTAATTATTTTGTTTTAAATAATTGTGGTTTTTATATATATTTTTTAAATATTTTTTTTCCATTTTTCTTTTTGATTTAAAAATATTTTATTTAAAAACAGTACATAATTTAAAAAAAAGGGCAATACTTAATTTATAAATTAAAGAATAAAAATATTTTTTAACAATAAAAAGGTATAATATATGACATATAAATTAAATATATTTAATGTTTTTATTTAAATCTAAAATAAAAAGCTGTAAAATTAATAACTTTAAATAAAAAAATAAAAGATGTAAAATTATAATGTTGATAAGACAAATAAAAAAGAAGGAAAAAAAATTAAATGAAATTAATAAAAAAAAAAACGATATAATATAAAATATTACAAAATAAAAAAAATAAATATTAATTTAATTTTGTTAAAATTTTATTTATTATTTGAAAATAGTAAAAAATTATTTAAGATGTCATTTAAAATTAATTATTTTTTAAAAGTATAATGTTTTATTTAAATATTTACAATTTAAAATAAAGCTAATATAAAATAAAAAATTATTAATTAGTAAATTATTAATAATTATAAATAAATCAAAAAAAAAAAATTTAAAATGAAACATTTACATAATAAAATTTTATAATAAAACATATTTATTTAAATATTAAATATTTAATATTTTTATTATAATAAATTTTATGCTTTATAAATTATTTTACAAAAGAAAATAATATTGTATATTTATTTCAAAGTAGAAAATAATATCATATATTATTTATTTCAAAATGAAAATAGTTAATTTATTCATATATTTAAATGTATTCCACTTTTATTGATTCCATTAATTTCAGTTTATATTTTGCCAATGTAATAAGTCCTTATTTTTTTTTTCTAAAATCCTTTTATAATTTTATCAATAGAAATTTAATGTCTTTTATTAATAATCAAAGCTTTTTCTGGTACATCAGGGATCAAAAATCTAAGTAAATACTTAATAAATAAAAATCCAAATAAAAGAGAAATAAAAACAATAATTTAATATGATTTTTCAACAAGTTTTGAAGTATAAACAATTAAGCCTATTTTATATTATTTTAAAATAAATATATACATTTATTTATAAAGAAATAAAATATAATTTTTAATAATATAGTACCAGCATTTGCAAATATTGAGATAAAACTAATAATATCAATAATCAATAGCCAAGTTCCAATATTAGATGCCCCTGTAGGAATAGGTCTTTTGACAAAATTAAAGATTTTTTATCTATCAACTTGTATTTCTAAAATATTAACAACAAAGGCAATAAAAAAGCATAGAGGAAAACTCAACCCAAAAATAGTTAAAAAACTAAACTAAATAACAAGTTCTAAATAATCTGCAACTGTTCCATCTAAATCATTATTAGTCATATATGGTTCTTATAGAGATTATAATTCGACATAATTATCAATTTTATGAAAAGGGTGTATCACTTATTTTTCTTTTTTTTATCCAAAAAAACTTTTAGAAAATGCTTTTAAATAAGGGACTAGAATTTCTGGTATATTCTTTGCTATCATACTTAAAAAAATCACAACGATATTTTAACTTAACGTTTTGAAGCAATCTGGGGGTAACTTAGGGTTATATCTACATAAATTCAAATTCGGAAAAACATCACTTAAAAAAGCCACAAAAAGAGGAGAATTAAATGTATTGAAAAATTAAAAAAGAAATAATTTAGATATATAGGAATTCTCATATGACGATAATATTTTATGGTTTTCTACTTTGTTTAAATAGTCTCCTATTCCTGAATATATAAATGTGAATATATTTATATTTACAGCTAATAATATTGAACTAAATATATTTGGATCTATAAAACCTTAAAGGAATACAGGAGGACTCTATACCCATATATTCTTTTATTAAAATATATTTATCACAACATAAAATACTATAAATATAATTAAACAACTTATAATAAGAGCAAACCTATATATTTATATATATATATATTATTTTTATTTTTAAAAAAATATAATTATAAGCATATTCATATTTTAATTATAATAATTTTTTTTTACAATATAATTGCTTTTCTTTTAACAGGGGAAAAATATTCTTCATTTAATTTATCTAAAATAATAGATCGCTAATATGTACCTTCAAATTCAGGTCTTTCCGCTTCATCTTCTTCGAAATCCTATTAACCGAATTCTATTGAAAATAATACCTATATAATGTATAAATATTTTGTAACTATAATTTTTAAATACTTATTCTCTTTTCCACATTTCTACAAATAGAGTAGACCAAATAATAATAATAGCTGAAAAACTTATATTAAGAGCATTATTTAATTTATCTGAGTCTACATATGTTTTCAAAAGCTATACCAAAATAGAAATAAATCCTAAATAGCTTAAATGGAATGTATAAAATTCTAAAAACTTGAAATAAAGAGCAATTTTTTCTCCGAAATAGTCTCTAATAGAATCCACCTATATATGCCAAGGCCTTAAATAATTAAAAGCAGTTTCCTCAGAAACACTATCAGCATCAAAATCGGCTCCTTCAGCTTCATCCTCTAATAATTAAAACATCTACCTGAGCTCTTTTTCAGTATCAGTTGCTATATCTTTATCCACAATTCCACATTTTATTAAATCGTTAAAATAATCTTTTTTAGCAATACCATGTAATTAATAAGGATCATGTAAAGCAAAATATTCCTTCATTAAAAAAAATGGACTTCGAACTAAACCATTAATATTAACTTGTTTTACTATCATAGAATATGTTAGTTTTATTTTTTCCATATTCAAAAACATTGAACGATACTTTTTTTCATTAGTTTCATATTTTCGCCATAAAAAACTATCTGTTTAATCATTATTATCAAAATAATCAACATAAGCAGAAATTGGACGAGTATTTAATCTATATAAATATATATATAAATATATATATAAATATATATATATTATTTATATATATATAAATATATATATTTATTTTTATATACCTATCCCAAATATTTTATAGTATCTTTTAAGTTGAAAAAAACCCATTTATTTAATGATAAACTTCATTTGTGTCTCTAACTGCTTTTCTAAAGAATAGTTTATATAAAAACGCTTCATTTTAATCTACTATATTTTTTTATCTAATTTTTTTTTCTCGTTTATCTTATTTAGCTATTTTTTGTAATTTATTTATTAGTTTTTTAAAATATATTAGATAATCTAAATATACATAATAAGCTTCCCATTCTTCTCTAGTTGTAGATTCTGAGTCTTTTAAAATTTCTGCGTTTTCGTTTTCTTTATTAATACCTAGTTTTTCTGCTATTTCATTCATAAAATAATCAACTTGTAATTATTTATAAGCCAAATTAGCCCAAAAAACATCGTTATTCCATTTTTTAACAACTTCAAATAACATCTAAGTCCTATTTTCAATTCTTCTGAAATTCCTCTTTGTAACATTATTATTTTATTCAAATTAATTCTTTAAATCGTAATTTTTTTATAATTTCTTCTATAATTGCTTAACGCAATCCCTCACTTGTTTCTTCAATCTCATCGGCCTATAAAGTTTATCACAAGGCTCTAAACTAAACAAATCTGAATATCCTAGTTCTAATTATTTTGTTAATCCAGAAGATTTAGCCTCTTTTTTAAAAATCTATTCATTACCCTTTATTAAAATAAAAATCTCTTTTCCATCGTTGGATAAAAAACTACGAGTATGAAAATGTGCTTTTTTTGTCAATTTTTATTATATAGTAAATCTTACTAATGTCATAAAATCTTTAGGAATATTATTTTTACATATCCAATCATTTTAAAAATATGTATCTTTTTTACCTTTACCGGCCTCATGTTCTTCTAGAAAACCGCCTTTTGTGAGTTTTTTCTTTATATCTAATAAGAATTAAGTGAAAATATAAATATATATATAGAAATATATATTTATAAATATAAAAATATATATATATATATATATATATATATATATATATATATAGATAAATATATACTACATATATTTTATATATTTTTATACATAATATTTTTTTTTATATTATTATTTATTTTTTGTTTTTAATATTAATTATTTATATAAATTTAATAATTATTTATATTATTTCTTATATTAATTAAATAACCTTTAAATTAATCAGTTTCTTTAATAGAAATTTGCATTAATAGTTCATATAATTTTTTTTCTTCTTCTAAATCAAAACTTTAGAATTAATTTGAAGAATTCATTTTATTAGCTTTTAATCTATCATATTCTTTTTTATATATTTCCCATTAAGTTTTTTCTTTTTATTTTACTTATTAATGCATAATATTTTCATTTCGATTAGCATTATTTTTTTTCTTTTTCTTTTTTTAAGACTTCGCTTTTTTTCGTTTTCATCTTCATATGAATCCAACTATAAAAAAGAATATAAAAAAGCTTTCCTTTCAGCCTATAACTATTACTTAATATACCCATCATCTGTTAAAACATTCAATAATTTATCAAAAACTTATTCAGCATCCTAGAACCTCACATAAGGTTTTTTAGAAAACATGCTCTAGTCTTTCTAATCGGGATTATGAAAGATTAAAACCAAATCAGCCATGCCAAAATCATTATAGTTTCTTGAAACTTCCTCATACTCATATTTATTTAGGAAATTATCAATTAGTACTTTTTCTTCTTTTTATCTAAAATAAGACTAAGTTTTGCAATCAGCTATATTATTTTGCATATATCTCATTATATTTTAAATTAATTCCTGTTCTTTTTTATCTTATTCAATATTTTTTTTATTTTCTTCTTTTTTTTTTTATTCAGTTGTTTTTTTTTTTTTTTCAATTGTTCCTTAATCATTTTCATTATTTTCAGTTTTTTTAGGGTTTTGCTTATTTTTTTATACTAAATTTTTGTCAAAATCAGGATTATAACGAATTAGTGTATAATCATATGATGGTAACATTTTTTTTACTACTTTTTTATTTTGTTTTATTTTTTAAGTAGCAAAATATATGTATAATTTATAGATTTTTAAATTTTTTAAATTTTATAATTTTTATTTTAAAAAAAATATAAAATAAAAAAAATAAATATATATTAATATTTTAAAAAAATATAAAATATTTCAGTTTATTGATATATACATATATTTTTTAATTTTATTTATATATAATCTTGTTAGAACTTAAATTTAGATTTTTTAGATATTTTATTTTATTATAAATATTATAGTTATAAATAAATAGATATATATATTATATAAATTAATTTTATTTTTTTAATAAATCTTGAACAATATTTTCTTTAAGAATTTTATTAACTTTATATTATTTAATTTATAAATACTTTATTTTGTTATGTACATTTATATTCGAAATAATTTTTTAATAAACAATTACTTTATTCAATCTTGTTTTTTCGTTAAAAAAACTTCCTAAATAATATACCAGTTTTATTATTGATTAAAGTTTTGCAGATAAATATTTAAGCTGTTTATAAATTTATCATAATTCATTTTTAAATTCTTATTTTTCCTCATAAAATAATTTTAGTCAAAAAAAATTATTGAAAAAATATAAAAATTGTATGTTCGACAAAAATCAAATGAATAGATACAAAAATTGGTTCAAAATATCAATTTTAACATTATTATTTTGTATAATTATACTAAAATGACATAAACAACCAAAATAATTAATTAAGATATCTATTAAAAATAAATATGAGAAAGAAGAAAAAATCAGAATAAAACGTTACCAAATAAGATACAATAAACATTAATAAATCATAATAATAATATATGCTAGTAATGATAAAATTAAATTTAAATTAGAATATAAAGAGATAAGCAATGAAAAAAAAAAAACATAAAATAGAAGGACTAATATATGAATAAAACAATAAAAATAATATGGATTAAACATTCATTAAAGTTACTTATTTCATTTTATTAACTAAAAAATTAAATTTAAAATTATAACAAAAACAAAACTATAATAAACAAGGAAACTGGAGATAAATGGTAATGTATTTATAAAACAATTAAGGAACTAAAAGCATAATTATGAAAAAAATTAATTAAAATTTAATCCAAAATTAAAAATTTTATAAAACAAAAAATAGATATTAAAACAAACATTTAGTATTTAAAACATATAAATATATAATATATATAAATAAAAATTACATTAAAAAAAGAAAAAAATCTACGAAATAAAAAATAAAATAAAAAAAATTAAAATAATATAAATATATCAATATATATATATATATACATATATATATTCTTTTATAAAATATAAAAAATTATAATTAAATTTACATTTTTTTTATTTTTTTTATAACTAAATAAGCAAATATATTAAATTAATATTATATATGAAAATTTATTTAAAAAAATATAAAAGCATGTTTTGATTTAATTATAACCCGCTTTAATTTTAAATTAAAAATTTAAATTTATAATATAAAAAATTAAAAAAAAAAAAAATATATAAATTATAAAATGGATTTGGCGAAGTATTTTTACAACAAAAGTCAGTAAAAACAATAAAATAATGTAAATTATAAAATAGAAAGTTATAATGGAGGTTATGAATATGATGAAAACATATTAAAGTAGTTTTAATAAAATATTCTTTAAGAAAATAAAAACTATAATAATTAACAACCTTAAAGCAAAGAAATATAAGAAAAGACCTCTTATTTTAATTTCTTTAACTTTTTTAATTCAAAAGAGAACAATAAAAATAACCAAAAATCTAATTTAGGAGAATAAACACCATATTTAAATATATATAAGGAAAAAAAAAACAATATTTTTGATCCTTTTAACTGGTCTTTAGATGATTTTGAAATAGGAAGGCCTTTAGGAACAGGCAAATATGGCCATGTATATTTAGCAAGAACAAAAAAAACTAAATTTATAGTCGCTTTGAAAGTTTTGAGTAAAAAGTAATTAATTAATTGCAATTCAGAAAGTTAGTTTAGACTAGAAATAGAAATTCAATCACATCTTAAACATTAAAACATATTATAACTCTTTGGTTTTTTTTGGGATTAAAAAAAAATATATTTGATACTTGAATATGCTTCTGGAGGTGAATTATATAAAACTTTAAGATCTTAAGTAAAAATAAAAAATACAAAAACATAAAAATATATTATAAATATAAAGAAAAATAAAAGATTTGATGAAAAAACGGCAGCTAGTTATATAAAATAAATAGCAAATGCACTTTAATATCTGCATTCTAAACATGTAATACATAGAGATATTAAACCTGAAAATTTATTAAATTGTGATGTATATAAAAAAGAATATTTCTTTTATTAAAAATATATAAAAAAAAGGGAATTATTAAAATTTCAGATTTTGGATGGTCTACACATGCTCCTAGTAATAAAAGAACTACTGTATGTGGAACATTAGGTATATAAATTTATATTATTATTAAAAATGTATCAATATATTTAAGATTATTTACCTCCTGAAATGGTTGAACATTCTATACATGGATATCATGCCGATATATGGTGTTTGGGAATTTTAACTTATGAATTTTGTGTAGGATATCCACCTTTCGAAGATAAAAATTAAAAGGTTACTTATGAAAAAATAAAGACTGTTAATATTAATTATCCAAGTTATCTATCTAATGAAGCTATAAATTTTATGTAGAATTTAATAATAAAAAATATAGATTAAAGAATGAGCCTAGATTAAGCTATGAAACATCCTTGGATTGTAAATAATACTCAGTGAATATAAATTTAACAAAAATAAAAAGAATCTGTATATTATAAATGAAAATTATAAAAATTAAATCAAAAATAAAATTAAATATTAATATACAAATATATATATATATATATATATATATATATATATATATATATTTTATTATATTAATTTATAAAAATATATATAAATATTTTATTTTCAATTTTAATTAATAATGTTTTCTATTTCTTCAAATTCCTTTTCAATTTCTTCTAATTCTTTATCAATTTCAATATTTTTATTTTTTTACTTACTAATATTATAATCTTTTATATTATTATTTTCTTAATAAGGCATTTTTATTAAAATATTTTCAATTTAATTTTCCCATTCATCAATTTCTTTAAAAATTTATTAATTTTCTTTGATATAATCATTATTATTTTCCATTTATTACGAAATTTTCCCTAAATTTACTTCCATTTCTGCTTTTTTTATATAGTTTTCATAATTTTCTATATTACTCATTTTTTTTTTGAAATTTCTAAAAGATAATTCAATTCTTAATCTTAAAAGTTATCAACAGAGTCATATTTATAAACTGAGTTTTTCTATTAAATATACTTATCATATATTTCATAATCATTCTTATATTATTTTTAAATTAATTTTATTTTTTCTAAATATTTTTCAAATTCATTTTATTCTTTTATTTTATTTTATAATTCTTCATTTTCTTCTAAAGACTAAACTGCCTTTTCTTTATTTTATTTAAGTTATTCTTCTAGTTATTTTTTTTGTTCATCTCTCCATTAACGAGTTTCTTCTATAAAAACATTCAATTCGTTTAATAATTCTTTATGTTCTCCTACCCAATTTATTGGGTTTTCAGAACTTTTTTATAAAAGCTCTTTTACCTTACTAAAGCATTCCGAATTATTCATAAAAAATGCCTATGATTTACTTAATTCACTCCCTGAATATTATTATTGATTATTTGTTTATTCTAATAAGTTAGATTAAGATAAAAAGGTTTATTAGAATTATTAATCAGGCTTTTATAATTATTTATCTAATTTTAAACTTCTTAATGTTTTGATATTATTAGGTTAAAACATTTATATTTAAAATAAAGAAAAAAAAAATATAATAAAAATTAAATATTTTTATAAAAATATATTAATATTTATATTTTGTTTAAATAAATTATATATATATAATACTAAATATTAATATGTCATTTAAAATAAATCATATTATATTAAATACAACTCAATGTAATAAATATATATAGTTATTACGTTTATTAATAGGAATTATAACAAACAAGCATGAATATATAATGCCAAAAATAAACTAAAATTATATTAAATAGATTAGATAATATTTAAATTTTAATGAAAAAGCTGAATTATAAAACATCACTTAATTTTTTTTAATAATTAGAATGTATATTTATTCCACTAATATACTTTAAATTTTTTATAATAATCAGTTTTCTACATAAATAGAAATATTAAAGTTAAAAATAATATTATGATTATATAATTTTACATTATTTTTATAATATTTATATTTATTACAAATAAAGATGTATTTAAATTTGTGTCTAAAAACTATAATATATTATTTATTTATAACAATTTTTTTTCATATAATCTTTTAAATTAAAAAACTATTAGATTAATACAATATTTTTTTAATTAGTTTTACTGTATTTATGTTATTTATTTCTGGAGTAACTAATCTTATACTACAACTTACATACATATAATAATAGATAAAAATAATAATTTATTGAAAGTTAATATTTATGTTTTTCTTCGAATTGGCTTTATAGTATTTTTGTTTATATTTAATAAGATGTGGAAAGACTATTTTGATTTCCTTTTTTTTATTTTTCTATATTTTTGATAAAATGTATTTATTATTAATTGTAAATAAATGTAAATCTTTTAGTTTAAACAAAAAAAGAAGACATAAATGGTATTTAAAATATATTAAATAAAGTATTTTCATTATTTTAATGTTTAAAAATTAACTAATTTTATTCTCGATTTTAAAACAAACTCCTCCTTTTTTTTATATATAAATTTAGGATCAGAAAATAAAACTATAAATCTATATTAAGATAATACTCTTCTATATACCAGTTAATAATTTAAAGTTTGGAATATTCAAATTCTAATTATTTGTTTTAAGTAAATTTCTTTATACTTTAATTTACTTTAATTAGTTTTAAATTCAGAAAATTTTAAATCATTTAATTTGATAAATAAAAATAAAGCAAATAATGTATTTTATTCATATTTTATGAAAAAAGTCTTTTTGTTCATTTTAAGCTTATTAATTCCATATTTAATTCTTATCAACCTTTATATGGTTTATTTGTTTGTATTTATAGGATTTAAGCTTTATTCATAATATTATTTGTTTAGATTATAAATGTATTTATTTAATAACATAAAAGGATAAATTAATAAGGCTTAAATGATAAAATATTTTCGAATGAATTATATTTTTTTAAGACTAATAAGCTTTGATAACTTTTTTTGTTTAAAAAAAATAAATACTAAGTTAATATTGTATTTAATTTTTTTAGTAAAATATTAAAATTAAGCATGAATATTTTTTAATTTATTTTGAAATGTTTTTAAACATAAAAAAAAAAAAAAAAACATTAAAATTTTTGCTTTTATTTATAATATTTTTTTTTGTTTTTTTCAGAATTACATTTATTTTTATTCTTCAAAAAAATTGTTTTATAAAATATTTTATTCTTTTCTAACTTTTTATATTTTCCAGAAATTCATCATTTCTTTTATAATATATAAATCTTATATAAAAAATAAAATGTATTACTTCCTCTACAAATAGGGCATTTATTTGTTTTTGCTTTAAGATCTTTACAACAATCGTAGCAAAGACACATATGTCTACATGGAAGAATCACTGTATTTATATTAGAAGATAAACAAATGGAACATTATTCTTTTTCGATTTCTACTTAATCTCCTATACCAAATATTTCATTCATAATATATGCTTTATTATTTATTTCTATTTTTTATCTAATAACTTCTATATGTAATTTATTTGATTTCATTTATATTATATTGCAATATGTATATAAAATTTTATCTTCTAAAGATTTATCTACTTTTTCCTAATTTTTTATTTTTTTTTAATTAAAATTTATATATAATAAGTTTTTGAATTTATTACACATTTTATTATTAAAGGAAAACGATGTTTCCCATCGAATTTCGTAAGTGTATTTATTGATATTTTCGAAATATTAAGAGGATATAATGTTCCGTCAAAAAAGTTAACTTTTTTATCTGTTGACGGTAATGTAAATGTATTATTTCCAAATTTTTAACCAACATTATCATTATTTATACTATTTTAGTTTTATTTTTGTTAAACAAATTAATTTTTAAATTTGTATAAAATAAAATAATATTGAATAAAATTATAAATTCCATTTTAAATAATATAATAAAGGATTATTTTGAAAATAAAATAAAAAATGATTTCTTTACCTTAAGGTGATATTTTTTAAGTTTTCCAATTCCTCTATACAAGCAAAGTATATTTATAAAATGGATTCAACTTCAAAAACATATGTAAATTAAAGGAAATAAATGTTTTCTGATTAATTTACCTTTTTAATAAAAAAATATAAGATAGTATCATATTTTTATAATTTTACTAATTTTATTGAGTTTTATTAATTATCATATCGTTTTTAATTGGCATCGTTTTTTTTACTTTTATTTAGTTTCTTCCTTACATATGATGACCATGACCAGGATAATTATATCCGTATTAAGCATAATGATTTTATACATCAATATTTAAATTTTAATTATATATTTAAGATAGTAAGTATTAATTTCTTATGTTTGTGGATAAATGACTTAATTAGGTATTATTTTAATTCTTATATATTTTTTATAATAAAATATTGATTTTTTAAAGTAAATTTAAATATACGGATTATGAACTTCCCATAAATGATTTTTAAAGAATTGATAATATATATTATTTTGAAAAATAAATTATAAAACAATAAATAATAATATAAATATATATATATAAATATATATAATTATATATATAATTTTTATAAATTATATATAAAATTTAATATCTTAATATGTTTACCAAATAAATATACTTTTTCAGATAATTATATTCTAATCAATGTTTTTAGTTTATTTAATTATAAAAAAACTAATATTTAATATTATTACATTCTTTAATATATTTAATTTATTAAATTAAATCGCATAAAATTTACAATTGAAAATAATCTAAAATATATTTTGTATAAATAAAATATATATATTACAAATAAACTTTTATTGATTTAATTTTTTATGACGATTTTATTAAATTAGTTTGTATAAATTAATTCCATACATAGATAACAAATAAATATGAAAAATGTTTTAATATTTGATATAAAAAAGATTTACATATTAAATATTTAATATTATTTTAAGTTAATGCTATTAAAATGAATTTATATTTTAAAAATATCATTTATTTTTTAAATATTTATATTTATTATTAAAATACATTTACATGTTTTATTTTATACAAACAACCTTATTTAAAATCTGCATAAAAAATAAAATTATATATGTTATTACCTAAATAAAATTACTTTGTATAATAAGATTTATATTGAAAATAGTATTAAAAATAACAGGTATCAAAAAACTTATTAAATAAATTTTATTAGAATATTGAAAAATATAAAAAAAAGTATTTTATAATATAAAATATATGTAATAATTCTAAAAAAAAATAACATTTTATATGGTTTTATTATAATGGATACGGGATAAATCAGACTATTTAACCATGAATTAATTAAGAACCCTTTTTTTAGATAATAATGTGCTATTCAAAAAAGTTATATAAAATTATTAAGATAGATATTAATTTTTAATATTCTTAAATATATTAAATACTTAAGGTTTAGGTTATCTTGTACTTTAATATAAACTATTTTTCTAATTCAAATAATTAATTGTAATGGCGAAAGTCATTTTATTAACTAATATTTGTGATAAATAGAAAAAGACTGATTATGTTATTACCCATCTTATTATCTAGATGATAGGAAGAAACTAGAGTTTAATTTAAATATTTTGATAATATTAGTTAATAGTATAAAATACGATAATTTAGAAACTATAATAATAACATAACATATTAAAAAAGGAAATATTATAATTAAAAATTATTTATTTATATATTAAATATTTTTAATTAAAAGGATATTAAATATTATATAATATATTTAAAGACGATTTAGAAGATGATAATTTACAAAAAATAATTATATGAAAATTAATGAAAAGAAATTAAGAATAAATTTAAAGTGAAATATGAAAAATTAATAAATAAATGCTTAAAATATATTTTTATAAATAAAATAAATATTATATAAATATTTTATTAATATTTTTTCTTGTTTTAATTATATTAATTATTTATCTAAATAAAAATAATATTTTATATAAATTTATATTTTATTTTTATATTTTATTTTTGTTATTATTTATTTTATAATACTTATCAATAAGTTACATTTATTTATATTTTCTTTGATAATTGTGCGGTATTTTTTTTTGGAATAAAATCATATAATAAAATTTTTAAACAATATTAATCATTATAATTTAAATAATTATAATTATAATTTGCCTTTATTAATTTTACTTTAAATTATTTTTAGATCTCTATTTTATGATGACATTTGTACAAAAATTAAATAAAAATATTAAGAGTCAGAATATTATTATTGAATTAAAATACGTTAATTATATAATTTATATAATTATATAATTTTATTTATTTTCTTTCAATTAATGAAATATATAATAGCTAGCATATTACATAATATTTCTTTATATTTAAATAAATCTATGTAATATGATTTTAAAAAATATAAAAATACAAATTATAAAAAATAAGAATATATACTTTTAATTAAATAAAAAACTCTTATAATATTATTTCTTTTATAATTAATAATTTTTTAGTATTAAAAAAAGCAAATAATAATATCTAAATCTAACAAATTTAAATAAAATAATATTTATATTTTTGTATATTCTTTTATTAATTTAAAATAATAAATTATAATTAATTATAAAAAAATAATAATAGATTTGGTAAATATTTATATATATAATATAATATATATATAATTATATTATATTTATATTATATTATATAATTTAAAATAATTATTATATGATGATAATTTTATAAAAATTTAATTTTTATATATTTTTAGGATTTAATTTATTAAAATTATTAAATACTAATAAAATATGTAAATAAACTAAGAGTTTTTGTGTTTTTCTAAATTCTTAAGTTCATTTTAATAAAATTAGTTATTTTACAACTTTTATTTTATTTCAATGACTGAATTTTTAGATGTTAACAATAATATCTTATGCTATTTATTTAAATTTTAATTATGAATAGATTTATTTAATTTTTTAGAATTAAACATTTTCTAAATTAATTATTTTTATTAATCAAAATGAAATTTATTTGAATTAATTTTTTAATCTTATTTTTAATTATTTTTTTTCCTTTTTTTATTATTTAAAATAAATCAATTTGTTTATAAAACTTTGATTAGTAGAAAAATCATAATTAAAATTTAAGATTATTACTTATTAATCCCAACAAAAAATGCCAAGAAATATTAAATAAACAATATAAAAAACAAATATAAAATTTTATTTATAAAAATATTATTTCAAAAAAGATTTATCCTTTATAATTATTAAAAAGCTATTTTAAAAACTAAATACAAACCATTAAATATTAAACAAATAATATAAGGGACAATGGTGACAGCTAAACATACACTAATAGTACTAAACCAAATAAAAATGCATATATAATAAAAATTAAAGAATAAATAAAATAATTATAAAGCACTTATAATTAATTTAAAGAATATAAACAAAAACTATTATTTATTCTATTTATTGAATTTAATAATTAAAAATTTATTAAATTTAAAAGTAAATAAACATATAGCAAATTCCATAAAACAAATTATTAAAATTTACATTTTTCCAATTATAAAAAGAATTCCAGTATAAATAGGAGTATTATCTTAATATAGACCTATAGTTTTATTTCCTGATCCTAAATTAACATCTAAAGAAAGAGTTCCTTTCAAAATTTAGAATAAATTTAATGAATTCTTAAACATTAATGCTATAAATAAAAATTAACATATCATTAAATAATTACTAAAACTTTTTTTTTATTAGTTTCGCCGTCTTAAATTATAGGTTGTTCATCTTCTTTTTATAATTTATAATAGATTGACTTTATTAAATAAATAGAAGGATAAACAAAAATAAAGCAAAATATTCTTTCCATATCTTATTAAATATAAAATACAAATATCATAAAATCTAGTAAAAGAAGAATATAAATATTATTTTTTTTGGCATCACATTCTTATCTATTCCTAAAGTGTTATATAAGTCCTAAAATATTATTAAATATAGAAGAAGCAAATAACATAAAGGTTGTTTATCTAATTAAAAGTATAGTTTCTTCTCTTTTATACATTCTATTTCTTTAATCAATAACATCATATTAAAGCATTGATAAAAAAACAAAGAAATAATAAATTAAATGTATAATCATTATTCTTTATTTGATTAATCTTGGTAAAATAAAGAATAAAATAAATATTATGTAATTAATGTAAGTTAATTCTACATAATAATATTCTGATTCTTAATGTATTTATTTTAATACCATATAAGTATCATTGTAGTATAAAACTCTACAAATAATTTAAAGACAAATTAATAATACAGTTTTAAATTCTATAGTATTAAAAATATTAGGAATAAATTAATTTTTTTAGTTTAAGTTTTCTAATATATATATAAAATTTGATCATAAAAAATATTATAGTTTGAAATGATTTTCTAAAATATATTTTGATCATTATTTAACTGATCTAATTATTTTTTATTTTTTTAACTACTATCTTCTTAATATAATTCGATATCAATTTATTTTTAATATTAATCAGAAAATTATTTATTTTTAATTTTATTTTTATAATATTTAATAATAAAAAGCATTAAAATAACTGTAATTAAAATATCTGAGATTACTCCAAAATCATAAAATTTATCTTCTAAAAAAGAAATAAATAATATTAATAAATTATCAAAATAAAAAAGAAGAAAAATCAAAGAAAAAATAGAAATTTCAAATTTAGAAAAAGAAAATATCTTATTTATAAAATAATGTCTATTTAAAAAGATTATTAAAAATAAATTAATAGGAATTATTATTAAAAAAATATTA